CTGACCTCTGGCTCCTGGCCTGACTGTATTCCAAGTACCTGGGCCCTAGCCCTCTCCCTGTCTGCCTGCGCTGGGCTCAGCATGCCCAGCACCACAGCATTCCCCGCTGCGCCCACAGTGCAGGCCGGCGGGCTTCGTGTAAGACCCCACCCTTCCCCATCTCGGCTTCCCAGACCTCCGCTCAGGGTCCCCGCCGATCCCTCCCAGCCTAGCAGGACCGCACTTTCGCTCGATCCCTGAGGATCACAGATCCTCCCACCCCCACCCCCACCCCCCACGTTGTAGGGTGTCTGCCGGTTTTCCGGGTGCTGGTGCAGGGGCAGCCGTACCCCGTCCCCGGGTGAGGAGCTGGGCCACAGAGGACGTGGCACTTTTGGAGACAGGGTGCTGTCTTGTTTTAAAAACTAGAGAACTTGAGGTGGCCCTCCTCTCTGCTCCCCACGTGTGAAAGCTGCACTCTGTCACGGTCTCCCCTTTTCTGAGAATTCTCTTATTTTCAGTGCTCTGTAGAGTTAATTGACTGGAAGTGTTGGGGGCAGCGTAGCGGGAGGCGGCTCTGATTGGGATAAACTTGACTCCCCTCCCAGACTACAGAGCAATTTTTAATTGGCCCCAGGCTGTTGACATAAGGATAATTAGTTCTGACCGGCAGGGCCTTGCGTTCATTTTACACGTCATTTCTTAGGGAAACTCAGAAATCTTATCCTGCAAACCTCCTCCACCTCCCAGCTTCAGGAGAGAGGAGGACGGTCCGAACCTTGGAGTGACCTGGTGACCGCCTCTCCCAGCGTGTGACGGCAGAACCTGCAGCCGGAAGCCAGGACACTCGCGGCCCCTCCTGCCTCTCTGCCCCATCCTCAAGGAAAAGGTGGACTTGCAGTTGTGGTCCCAGCTCTGGCCCCAGCAGCCCTAGCTTCCCCTCCATCTGGGTCAGGTCCAGGGACAGAGGTCTGACCCTGGCCCCAAAGCAGCTGGCCCGGGAGCTCCCCGCCTGGGCTGTGTGACAAGAGCCTCCAGTGGGCTCCGGGCATGGTTAGCACAATGGCCATCCAGAGGAGGCTGCTGGGGCCCAGAGGCCTGAGGAAACCTAAGGGCAAGCAGGTTGCAGTGGGGCTGGAGGACCGCGGATGGAGGGGAGGGGGCTGAGCCGAGGGGCTTGGTAAGGGGGAGATGGCGGATTGGGTGGCTTTCCAAGCTGAGTTGGCACTTTTCCCACTTGAATTAAAAACTGGCCCACGTCCTCGGGAGGTGAGGTCAGGGGGGCGGGGGAGGGGACCTGCCTGTCCCAGTAGAGACACAGAATTGGGCCTGGGGGCCTTGTGCCTTGGGCTCCCCTGGTGCTCCAAGGCAGCTGACAGCACCTGCCCAGGCTGCCTCCTCTGATGGGGAAGGGCGGACCTGACCAAGCTTCCTGTACACGGTTCACCCTCAGGACAGCCCCGAGGCAGCATCTGCATTCCACAGATGAGGAAGCTGAGACCTGGCAACCTTGGGAGACACAGACACACCCAGGCCTGACGGGGGCGGGGCCCGAGTGTGAGTCCAAGTGTACCGAATGGGGGCAGGGGCCCTTGTGCAGCTGGCGGTGCCTCACTCGCCGGCCCCTCGTGGAGAATTTGTAACCAACGGGCACCCTCTTCCCCGCAGTGGCGAGATCCGCCTCCCCGGCTCTGGGAGCCAGCCCGAGGAGCCCTCAGCCTGGGGGCTTCTGCCTGTGCTCCAGCCCTGGCACCACCCGCCCTCCCCTGCTTCAGGGCTGTGGGGCTGCCGGCAGAGCCAGGAAGTTGTGCGTGGCCCAATGACACAACCCACATGACATGTCATTACAGCTTTAATCCAGCAGCCGGGGCACGGCCCGTGGGGGCGCCAGCAGGAGGGCTTCTGCCCACGGCCGGTGGAGCCCCCTCAGCCCACGGCGGGCTAACAGGAGTGGCCCAGCCTTCCCGGCTGGGGTCCTGGGAGGAGAAGGGACTAAAAGAAAGCAGGGGCTGTGACCCAGGCTTTCCTGTCCTTCCCCCGCCCCGGATAAAAATAGTCCACGCGTCCGTCCCAGGCCCTCCCCACCCACCCCTCATTCGCAGCCAAGTTCCAGCTCAGCTCCTGTTGCTCTCCCTGGGGCTCTGCTCCCAGAAAGTCTCAGGGCATGGCTTGGTCTGGGGCCTGGCGAGTAGAGGACCCTGCCCACCCCCGGGCCGCATGGAGGTTCAGGAGGGGGCATCCCTGAGGGACGGCAGAGACGCAGCTGGTTGCTCAGGCTCCCGGGTAGGAGGGCTGGGGTGGCATATATGGGGGAGGAGCTGCAAGCCAAGGAGACAGGATGAGGGTCACGGCGGCACGGGCGGGCGCAAGGGAACCCCGGACCGCAGGGCCACGCAGGACCCACGGGGCCGAGGCAGCCTGCATGTCTGGGAGGACGCGGGTGTGAGGGTACGGGGGCGGCAGGTGGGAGCAAAGGGCTCACTTACCTGCAGGGTTGTAGACAGGGGGCCCCGCCGGGTAGAGTGGATACTGGGGTGCAGGACCACTAGGTGGGTACATGAAGCCAGGCTGTGGGGCCGCAGGGCCAGCTTTGGGGTCCTGGGGGTACGGGTACACCGGCTGCACTGGGATGCCTGTCATTGGGATCTCCTGGCCTAGTTGGGGGCCAAGGACCAGCATTCAGGCAGGGCCCTGCCGCCATGGGAAGCCACCTCCTCCGGCCCGGGAGGCCCTGCCGCCTCTGCTCCCAGACCCTGCTCGGCCGAGTCCAGCAGGGAGCCTGCGCGTGGCCCCCGCTGGTCAGTCTGGGTTCAGCACTGTGCTGCCC